TTTCTGTGTAGAAGAATAGACCCATGCACCCATTTTATCTGAATCTCCACACAATGTCAGAACAGCATAGAGGGGGGGGGGCTGCAAGTAAGGTGACCACAGTGTAACAACAACTTGTGGGGCAAAGAGTGTTTGTGTGGGACACATTACACACATTTTGACATTGCCAAACTAAATAAACACTCAAAGGTTTGTAGGTTACGGGTTTGGCAACAGCTGTATTTTATTTGAATGCCACTTTCTTAACTACCTTGCAAAGTACATGCAATAAAAAGCCAAAGGAGGTTAGAGGAAGTGGAAAGTTGATCTAATATTTGTATACTTCTGTGTTCCCTGTACTTCTACTGTATCACCTATACCAGGGGTGTCAAACATAAGGCATGGAGGTCAGAAATTACCTAAAGTTGTTTTTTTTAAAGTAATAGATACAATGAAATGACAGAAGGTTACACTATCTACTATGGAAATGTAGGATTTTACTGTGGGTCTACAATAAAAACAAAACAAGGTAATTTTCTGTCGATTCTCAGGTTTATAATTACAGAGCAGTCTGGGCAATGAGCTAACTGAACTTTTTCTGTAATTCTACACATTTATTTATTAAAATTTGAGCCCAGGGTGTCATGCTGACAGACGTCTGTCATGTACTACAGCAGCAATTCTCCATCACGTAGAAAAATTGAGACTTCCTATTGAAATTGTTCTTCTTTTCCCTCATATCAAAACATCTCATGGATTAAGCATGTAAATCACAAAGGGCTGTATGTGGCCCACAATGTAGACTGAATTTGACATCCCTTCTTATACCAATAAGTTAAAAATGTTACATGAGACTTCAGCCATATTCTCATAGTTGCTAACATCCTCTGTTAGACGTAGTTTCCCCAACTGCATTTCCTTTTTTTTGTGGTAGGTTCCATCACCTCCACAGCTTAACTGCAATTTTTCCCTCTTGATGTCGTGCTGGCGACAAGATTTGGGACACTTGCAAAATGTGGGACTACAACATAGGGATGGGCTCAAGAGACAAAAATGCTGTGCAGCCTCATAAGGTTACAACGCTTCAAAGTGAAACGCAGTTGTAATGAATCTGAAAGCATTTTTATGCAGTGTAGAGAAAAACACGCCAGCATGAGGCGATTGCAGTGGACTGCACAATCTGAAACCAGTTCTCGATTCTTATCAGTCTGGGTGCGGTTGGGGTGGTCTGTGTTGTGTCACAACAAGAAAGAATGAATTTCTTCCACATGTTACTCACATTAAAAATCTTTTGAACAATCCAGCCGTGGTATCGCTTCAGTGCCTGCTCATAGGCTTTTGTGATATTAACCCGAATGAGGTTGGGGTTGTTCTCATCTCTGTCCCCGTCTGCCAAACTCTGGAGCAGAATCTGGATGAAACGGAGACCCCTGCAGGAGAAACGGAGTACATAAAGGCTTTCATTTCACTAGACGAAAGTTGAACAGACAGTATGACACAACTTTGAGTTCAGGAGGTCCTTACCTCTTCAGCCACATCAGAGCTAACGTTGCTCCAATTTTAGGCCACTCTGCTCCATGAGCCTCTCGCTCTGCCACCACAATGTCCTCCAGGGTGGTGTACTTTGCGGGATTAGTGACATATACCGCTCTAATTTTCTGAAAATGCACATTTGAGTTCAGTTTGCATGTCGGAGCTGAACCTATCTCTAATTTAAATCCCTTACAGTAACACAAATAGATATGCCCGCCTGCATCTTACCGTTATATTGCCGTTAATGTCTGATTTGATGATTGAAAACACTTTTGATCCTAAGCAGTCTGGAAAAGAAACGAGACATTTGAGAGCAGGGCCAATAAAATATGAATGAGTTGACATGTCCCCGGCTCAGAGGAGGGGATGAATGCCAATCAGCTGTTTACAAAGAGACAGCTAAAAAAAAAAAATGCCGTGAATGCACAGTTTCAGTTAAGTCACAATGAGGGCAATGTGTGCTCTGTTCACAGAGTCAACAAAGAGTTTCTCTATAGGCCAAACGGCCGCAGCTGGTTGACATGGTCCCCGTGACCCGACACCTCAATTTCTGAAGTGAAATAACCACGTCCCGACGTGAAAACCAAGCTCAGGTGGTCAGACGACGTAAAATTAAAAAAAAAAAATAAAAAATTCAGCCAAGTACGAAGGCTGACACCGTAGCGACGCGAGGGAACTCGCAAAGTCACCTTACGTGTTTTTGTATGACTTCAGATGGAGTTGCACTCACCAAAAAACGCAGGGATATGAGAGACGGTGTCCAGGAATGTCTTCGTGTCGATCGCTTTGTCAGGGGGCAGTTCACAGAACTGATTTTCCATTAAAAGCGACATGATCCTTCCTTATGAGCAACGGCAGCGAGCAGCTCTCGGCTGAGAAAAACCCGGAACTATGTTCTTATGATGGGTGGGGAAGCGCAACCGGCCACTTTCGCTCTTCACCAACAGGTGGGAAATAATTCACGAGCCTGGTGAAAACACGCGGTATGTCCACAACACACACACACAAATAAGACGAGGAGAAAAGATGAGGTATGAATGACTTTATTATACCTAAGGCAGGGATTGATTTGAACCACAGATAGGGCAGGCTCCAAGTTACAGGGAGTTAAATGACGGTTTTGACTCCAGGGTGGAAGTAACTGAATACGTGCATTATAACATTATAAAGTCAGTAGTTTATGTGCTTTTAAAAAAATGGCAGTCTAAAAAGTATTTATATGCTACTTAAATTGCTTTGCGTTACATTTTGTTCACAGAGGTACTATGGCTGGTTTTTAGGAGATGAATGGCAGTGGTATTTATTTTCTAAAAGACAGCCTTCTTAGGTTTGCTGTAACCACCTTTACATAATGCTCTACTACCAGACCAGGTAAGATCAGACCATGCTATTCAGTAAAACCTAGCCTTCCTTTAAGACAAAGGTGTAAAACATAGGGTACAGAGGCCACACCAGCCCACCAAAGGGTCCAATTGAGTCCAGGAAGGCAAAAAAATTCAAACTTTTAACAGTATTTTTTATATGTTTTAAAGCTTTATTTCTAACACTGATATCATTCGTGGCCTGCCAAGCTACACTAAGTAATACGAAAACTTTTTTTTTTTAAAAATATTTAGTATCCCATTAAATAACAGTTTAATGGAATAACATTCCCCACTTTTACAGTCCTTACTAAAACTGGCACATTTTCTGGAAATGAGTCTGGATAATGAGCCGTCAGTGCTTCTTTAATTATGCATTTATTTCTTAAAGTGTAAGACCAGAGAACAGTTTTGCTGATGGGTTTCAGTTCTTTATAATGTAGAAAAACGGACACGTACTGTTAAAAAAAACAAAAAAACAAAAACAAAAAAAAAAACAGTATGCAGACCTTGACAAATAGTTTAATATTCTGTCAAAAACACACCTAAGAAGACTTAAGCAACTAACCAGAAGTGAACAGTATACTCATGTGCACTGAAGTCGTTTTAAGGATACTTCTAAATGTCTTTTTAATCCTCACCCAGCCACCTAAGAAAGCAGTTTTCGATAGAAATGAACGTGCATGTTCATACTGCTGTGGTTACAGTTAAACAGGCGCTTTAGATTTTCTTTAACGCATTCTAACAGGTAGTCCTCTTTAAGGAAATTGAGCAGTGATAAATTAATCTGCTTTTTTCTTTATCTAGCACCAATTACATTACACTTTAAATTGCACAGTAAGGACCCTGCAATAAGAGCACAACCCTGCCGTCCACTTGTCGTGCAGCGTATTCCAGTTTTCCTTCCACCCCTGGTTCAAACACATCTGGCTCACAGTGAGTGTCACATTAGACCCGTGTTCTACAACAACTATTCAAGAACTGAGGGTACAATTACATTATCATTGGCTCTAAGCCGTAGGCGGTACATACTCGACCACATGAAGCGTCTAAAATACTGGAGTTAAAACACCACACTAAAATAAACAGACCACACGTTTCCTATAACTAACTGCCGGCTGAGACGTCCCAGACCTCAGAACAAAAACGTTAGCCTGCGCCGAGCATCGTGTTAAACCAAAGCTTATGAAAATAAACATTGATATTTTCTTAGAGGTATGACATACAGTTTATAAATAGAATAGCATTTGGATTATTCTGATAAAGAATTACATGGATACATACATCTCACATATTTGCATAACGCTAGTAAAATTGATTCAAAATGGATTTCACACAGGCCACTGAGGCCAACGCTCACACACGCTCACACACGCACACACACACACAGAACATCTTAAGTATGGCTGTAACATTATAACTCAAAAAAGAAAAAACCCCAAAAAACTATTGATACTTTACTTATAAACATTGTTTCAACCCGCAGATGGACTGAAACTGCTGGAGTTGCTGGATGGGCTGAAAGTCTGGACACTCACACGGTGCTCGATACACTGAAGCTGCTTTTATAATCACAGTTGGCTTACTGAACAAACAATTGAACTTTAAGCAAGCAACACCACAATGATTCAAGAACAATGAACACTGTAACTGCCTCTTAAAGAAAAACAAACATTGTGATTGGAGTAGCTCATCTGTTCTGATCATTGCTGCTAGGTAAGACTTGATCGTCTATGAGTACCAGAAAGCGGACCTCAGTGAGCACAGCTAATGACTGATGGTGTCCTCTAGAAGGAAACGGATAATGCAAAACTGTTTGTTCTAATTGCTTTTATATACACAGGCAACACTGCACTTCTGGAAACTGAATAGATTCAATCTGTGAGGTAAAGAACAAGTAGTTTCCCCCCCTGTATATATACACACACTTTTTATTACCATGGTATAAAAACAAAATAAATAAAGCTTTTGATTGAGCTATGATTTTGCATGTTATATTTTTTTCTCCACCTCTAGGAATGTACACAAAAGCTTACACTGATTAATATGGGGGGGAAAGGGAAACCATTGATTAACATCATTTATATGCTGTATGTTTGGCGCATTGGGAGTGTCTTTGGAGTTTAATTAGTTGTTGTTTTCTTTGGTTGTCACAGTAACAAGTTGTTTGGCAGCTTTGGCTATGTCATAGGCGCACTGAATGACCTGCTGAGTGACCAGCTGGATGTCTGACGGGCTGAGGTTGTGTTCTGCGGCCTTCTGGCACTCTCTGTGGAGCCGGCTAGCGCTTGAAGTCAGCAGACACAGAGACCCTCGCACTGTCTCTGAGGACGGCCTCTGAAGGGAGGAGGGAAGGAGATTTGATAAGGCGAGGACATGAAAGCGTTCGTAATCACTTTATGTGCTAGGCAAGCACTGGATTTCTATGAGACTACAACAAGGTAAATATTGAGATGGTAAAACAAGATCCAATACAAGCAATGGAACAAGCAGGTGCCATCTATCTGGACAAATAATTTTAAGCTGCTTTCACACATCCAGCCAAGCTATGAGAACAAAATGTCAGATCTGGTTCGATCAGACATTAAGCACTCTTTACTCTGTTGGGTCTCTATTACAAAGTCCGTCTGATGTGAGAATATAGC